ACGTAGCTCTAACCGAACTTTGCACAAGTGTATGTACACCTCAAAGAGGTCTTTCAAGGGTTGTAATGTGGTTAAGTTGATGGTTTAAGAAAGAAAGAGGTAAAAGGCTCAAGACCCGAGAGAAGCCCCCAAGATGTGTAATTGTGAATTTGAAAATTTTGAATTTTGCAAGTTTATTTTCAACACATTTTTTTTTTTGCTTTGAACTTTTTTTTTCATTCTTTTGAATCAATGTAGGCAATCTCAGATCATGCGGTCCATCACTCACTTAGCATTCATGTTTCTCAGGCACGGTACCGAGCACTCGATGAGAGACGCAATTTGAGACGTGTTCATATCAAAGACATTGGAACACTTTCCTTTAGACATTGTTTTATTTTTGCTTTGCTACTTTTTTTTTTACTTGCTTTTTGAATGTTATACAATTAAATATCTTCAAATCCCAGGGTTGAGTGAATGTGGGTTGAATAAATGAAGGGCAAACGTTAGACGAGGCTCAAAGTGGTTGATGAAGAAATGGATATGTGATTGAGTGGTTAATGGGGAATGACAGGGTTGCAAAGGTGTCTCAAATCATTGGTGTACCTTGTGTTTAGTTCGGCAATTGATGATTTTTTTTTTATCACATGATCGAATGTAAGAAAGAGATGCTCATTTATGAAGAAGGTAAGAAATGTGACATATTGACACATGGATAAGGAGAACCTATGCTAGACTTTTTAGGGGGAAGGGTTTGAAACAAGACGAAGAAAACATGAAATCTTGGTGAGAAGCATGCATCGTGCATTGTCTTCATGGTTGTTTATGAGTAACTTCTTGCCGCCTGGTGAAAAAAAAAAGTTTCTTGTTGTTGATGTTTTGATTGGAAGGAAGGAAGGAGTGACGTTCCCCTTATTCTTCCAACTATTGCCTAGTGATTTTAGACTCAAGTACTTTGTAATGATGAACTCACTTAATGCATTCACTCAATACTCAGATTTAAAAGGAAGAGTGTAAGAAACAATTTTGAAATCTGATGGGAAAACTCCACTCATTCCTATTACGACGGAAAACGACGCATGCATGGTCCTAATATACGATCATAAACAATATAGTGCATTACTCAAAGAAAAGTGTGTGCAATGACTCAACATGTGTGATTAGATGAGTTTATTAAGACTCGTGGTATGATCGCATGGCTAGACATGAAGACGTTGTGAAAAACAAAGGACCCAATGACCAAATAGCACGGAAGACTAAAAGACAAACTAACTTGATTAATTTTGTCAAATTTTAATGTTTATGCTATTTACTAGGTGAAAACGGTCCATTGGCAATCGTTATTCATAATTAAGATCAACCACAATCAAAGACGAAGAACACATGTTAAGGTTAGCATAAAAATTGATCACAAGAAATTAGGAAGAGGACTAGAATTCTAGAAGAGTTAAGACTCATGGGTATAAAAAAATAAAAAAATAAAAATAAAATTCAATTATCCTATGTTATACGAGTTGACACGGATTAAAGGACTTGGCTAAGACTAGCTTGACACGATTATTTTTTTTTTTAAAAAAATAAAAATAAAATAAAAAAGGTAACGTTCAAAAGACACCTAAACTGGACAGGCTGTAGTATATTGGTTATAACTTTTGATCTGTGACTCTGATTAGGACGAAACCAGCTCCAAGTGAAAGATAAAACTTGGGGCTACAGATCCATAGGTTACACGACACGTAACTTTTTCTAGAACTCCGGCTATGACCAAAACAAGTTCTATGACTAAAAAAAACACGGGAATAAAAATCCGGGTCACTCAAAAAAAAAAATCTATGACTCTACTCTAAAAAAAATAAAAAGGGTTTGATAAAAAAAAATGCACATATAAGCACATCGTCACGAATGATGCAATGAAGTTCGCAACCTAAAGTCAAGATCTAAGTTCCACTATGGTCAAGCTTTTCGGTGTCAAAGGGTACCATGGTTAAGAGTTTGGGCGCGTTAGCAAGGCATCCTCCCTTGAGGATGTATGCCAACGGGCGGCTCTGCGAGTTCGTGATGAAATCGAACTCGACTCTATGGTTTGGGTGGATTTAAAAACTCGGATGAACCCTTATTGCCATGAGCATTTTTGGGTTGATAGAGCTTAAATCCCCCGGGCTAGCCACATACGTAGAACACGTACTATTGTGGCAAAATAGGTGACCTAAAATGCATATGCATATGTGAAAATGCTAATTAAATCGCAGGAATACAATTCAAGAATCTTTCAAGTCTCATCCACTCATCTCAATTAAATACCGATCACTCAAATCGATAAATAACCAAGAATCCTCCCTAGTGGAGTCGCCAAATTGTAGGCGTCATTCGATGTGCGCCTACGTTAAAAGCATGTTGTGAATATGCTTGGCACTCATAGGAAGTGGGAATTTACATAATACGATTAGGGACAAATAAAGTAGGGAGCCGCCAACAAGTTTTTTAAGGAACTTGTAAACCGTTCACGGATCATAAAAAGGCAACCACGATAAAGGGACAACGATAGGCAACAACGATTGACCCGTGAAGGTTACACCCCATTCATAATCCATGAGATTACTAACTCCATATGGTTCGGAACCACGAAAGGAGGATCGGGGATGATGGTACGAAGTGAGTCATGGAGTCACATTCGCTCGTATTGGTCTCTACTCGATTCTTATAGTGAAAAGTGATTCCTGCGATCTCAAAGGCATACAAACAAAAATATTCAATTTGCTCCAAACTATTATTAAGCTAAATTGGTTGAATATTAATGCAACATATAATTCTAAAATATCGTGATCACTTGATTTAACAACAAGATTAAAAAGGAACCTAAGCCGGTTGTCCAAATTATCTTACTAGGCGTGATTTTCAATTACATATTCCCTTTAACATGCAAAATAGTGATCATAAAAATAATAATAGAATAAACATTAATATTGGAAGCAATTTAACAATAAATTGTTAGTCAAATCAAATAATAATAATAACCCTAATCATGATACTAGCAATAAGAATAAAAATAAGAGTAATTAAGTGTTTAAATTACTCACTTTCCGCGTTTCCTTGAATTGCTACATCATGAATAAACTGTTAGTAACTTCAATAAAAATAAATCAAATGGAAATTAAATTAAATAAATGTAGAGTTAATTTGGTCCAAACCCTCAGTTATTTATACCTTTCACGCCTTGGTTTAAGTATAGAACTTCGGGTATTGTATGGACTCCTTGGAGTGCTTAATTAGGGAAAGAATGGTGAGAGAATAGGAATATAGATTTAAGGCTAAAGAGGAAGAAAAGAATTATTTGATGATAAATCTTGTTGATTATTTGAAAGGGGGTGATATGACCTCTATTTATAGAGAAAAAAGAAGGGTCGAAAAAACAAGATAAGATCCGAATTAAATCGGAATAAAACTCGATAGACTGCAGTTTTTGCGGTTTTTTGTTTTTATCATATCTTTTGATCCAGAAATCGAAATAAGATGAATAAGATATGGTTGGAAAGATCTTGAAGTATACTTTCTAACCCAATTAGAATCCGATTAAAACATTTTGTAGAACAAAAGATATATCCGAAATAGTGAGACGGTGTCAGTTTTGGATAGAGTTTGACATTTTATTCATATCTTTTCCGTTATAGCTCGGAATTGATATTATAATATATCATTGGAAAGATAATTTCAAGAGCTATCCAATCATATAAAATTCAGATAAAAAATATGAGGCACGAAATTCATATCTGTCTATCTTTGAACGTCTTTCAATTCGGATAAAATAGGACTTTAAAAAAGAGGAGTTTTATTCAATTTCGAACTCTTTAATCTTATCTTTTCAAAAAGGATAATTAAGATAGTTTAGAAACTTATAGAAGCTTCCAATTAATCCTAATTGGTTTAGGAATGGGATTAAATAATTTGGTCCCTCCACATGATCATTGGGTCGTAGGTAAGGTGGGCTTAGGTTCGGTTTGGGCTCAGTTTAATATTTTGGCCATAACTTATTCGTTATAACTCGGATTTGGGTTTATAATATATCGTTGAAAAGATCTTTTCAAGCCTCATACAACTATTTAATCATTGGACCCATATTATGGACCAAAATAAACTGGATCAAACGTTTTTATAAAAAGGACACGAAATGAATGATTTTAAAGGACACGAAATGAATTATTTTGGGTTTAAAGGCACGAAAAGAGGAAAATAAGTTATGGTTTGGGGAAATGGGCTAGGAATTGGGTTGGTTTATGAAATGGAAATATGGATTTAAGCACTCCAAAAATTAAATACTCAACCCGACTAATAATGGCGGTGAAAGGTTATTTATCATCGGGTTTGGTTTTGGGGAGACATTTTTAGGTGTCTACAGTGACCGATCGAAGTTTTTTTGTTTTTAAGTTGCACCAATTCTCCCGTTTGGGGCAAAAGAGTTGTGCAATGGCTATGTAATCTCTACCTAGACGGACAAACACCGTCTGGTTAGTGACTGGAACGCCTGTTGGTGTACGGCTGTGCACTTGGTTTGGGGCAATCACTACTGTGATTGATTGACTTACAAACCATCATGCTCTTTGCAGCATCAAACGTTCCCAAGTCAATCAATCAACTCCATCTGAAACCAACCACACAGCCGTCCAGGGGCAAGGACAGCCGGCTTTTGATAAGCTAGGCAAAAAATTGCCGCATGCTTTTGATAAGTTAGGCAAAAATCAGGCATATACGCAAAAAGGCAAAAAACAAAATCCAAACGCAAACGCAAAATGATTAAAACCGACTTAGTCGGTGCATTCATTAAAAGTCCACCCAACCAAACGGTTGTAGTGGATCAAAATGTTAGCCGGACCCCGTCCGGGAAAAGAGAAATTGTTGATTAACCCGGCTCCTCAGCTGGTAAAATACAAGGATACTCGGCACGCAGGCCGGAAAAGCAAGTTTTTGGCATACTGCCGCAGATAAACAAAATAAAAAATAAAAAGGTTGGCATACTGCCGCTGAAATTACTTCTGGCCCGCAGGCGGCTCCTCCTGGTCCTCTTCCTCATCATCTGATGGAATCTCATGCGCTTCACCAGGACCGGGTAGCTCAAGCGCGGGAAGCTCAGTGTTGGCGTTGGCCCAGGCGTCGAAGGACTTAGGCTCTGGCTCACCTTTCTCCCTCAAGTACACCACGTCTTCGGCGTACCTGTGAGCCAGTGCTTGGACGCCATACTCCTTGTCTGGGTACAAGGCAGCCCAGGCGATCTTCATTCTGGCATAGTTGTCAGCATCGCTTTCAGCAACCAGGCGGTTTTGCTCTGCCTCGAGAGTTGCTGCAAAGTTTATCTGAGCCTGGGCAGCCTCCTTCTCCAGCTTCTGAACCTTGGTTTTCAAGTTGGTGTTCTCTTCAGAAACACCTTGGAGTGTGCTAAGGTCCGCCTGGGCCTTCTTGAGCGCCTCATCAGCTTTCTTGAGGCCCTCATCCGCCTGCTTCTGAGCCTCCTCCGCCTTCTTCTGAGCCGTCTCTGCGTCGCCCACCCGCTGGTTGGCCGTCTTCAGATCCGCCTCCAGCTTCTGAATTTTCGACGCTTGTGTCATGATGATTGCTTTAGTTTCAAGTTCATTTACGATAGTGAAGTATAAAGCAACATTATCAGCGTCTGTGGCAGACTTCTTGGCCCTTTTTACCTCTTCCCGTTTGCGGGTATAAGGACGCTTGAGCCCGTCTACCCGTAGCAGAGCCTGCAAAAGCAAATCAAGTTAGTATTGCAGGAGGAATAAAGCACTTAGGAAAATGTTTCAAGTATCTTACCTCAGCCAGAAGGGGCAAGATCCGTTCCAGGTTGAACGTCTCTATCCCAGGGATAGCGTCCTTGTCCTTCCTGCTCACCGCCTCCAGCATGGCTTTAGCATGCCTCTGGACGTCTGGCCAGGGAGGAGATTGATCTGCACCATAATCAATAGGTGATGAGTGCGAAATTAAGGCAGCACCTATCTGTTGCCGACCGTCTGAGGATGACGTCTGTTGGGAGTGGGATTTCACTCGCAAAGGCCACCCCAGCTCAGGCGGGGATTCAAATGGGTTCTTACCCTCAGAGCCGGCCAAGCGAGAGACCCGCTTGCAGGCGTGGTGAACCCCCGGTTGCTGATAGGGGGTTGGCGAGGTCGAGGCCCAGACTGCCGCCTACCCTCTCATTTCGCCCCCCTATCCGCATCTGATTTTTCCCGGCTGAGGCGCCAGGAGTCATGGCGGAGTTGGAATTTTTGGTCTTGTTGGGGGTGGAGGCGGATTCCTCCCTGGCCCGTTTGAGATCTTTCTCAAACGTCTTCCCTACCTCTCCTCCCTGTGAAAATAACCAAGTTAAAGTTAGCATCCGGAGAAAGTAAACTTTGAGGCCAACCTAAGAGAGAGTCAGGCGTTTTTACCTTGGCCCTGACCGCGGCCGCCTGTTTTTTCGCAAGCTCCTTGCGGATGGTGGCAGAGGACCGCTTGGGTGTCTTCTCAGTCGGCAACATGTTCAGAGCTTCTTCTGCAAAAAAGAAAAAAGTTGATCAATATATCATCAAGCAATTTTGATACAAAAGTACTATAGGCGGATGTGAACTCAGACGCATACGTTTGGTAAACATGTTTCCTAGCCCGCAGGCGGCTAAGAAACACTCATCCCTGAGCCAGGCGCTCTTAGGGATCCAGTTCTTAGGGACTTTTATTGTCTCCCCGGTTGACAAGGTTGCGTCTGTGAGGCCAAAAAATTCTGTCACAATTAATTTGTCGAAGTCCTCATCCGGGATCCAGGGAAGACAGCACTTCCGGCCCATCAGTTCGGGCTTCTTATTGTATTGGCGGAACTCATAATTCTCCCGCCTGCTGGGAGCCGTCAGCAAGTAGAACCTGTGCTTCCAGCCATCAAATTTCGAGACCTTGTCTAAGGTCATCATGTATTGGGGAAACGTGGTTAAAGTGTACCACGCCCTCCAGCCGCCTGGGCTTCGGCTAAGATAATGCATCTTAGCAAAAGCCTCCCAGCCGGGATGGAGCCCCTGGAATTCGCAGGCGACAACATACCCCAAGATGTTTGCCCAAGAATTGGGGGTAAGTTGCCAGACTCCGAGGCCGTAGCCTCTCAAGATTGCCTTCACCGCCTGGTGAAGGGGAAAGCGAAGACCGGCCTTGAACGCCGCCTCATAACAGCCGAAGTAGTTGTTGGCGTTCTGTTGATCGTCTTCCCAGGCGATGGTGTCGTTCTCAGGCGGCACTCTGATTTTGTACCCGTCTCCTAACGGGTGCATTTGTTTAAATCTTTCTAGGTTGTCCTCCATGTGACCTCTGTCTTTGGATGAGACGTGGATTTTGAAAGGGTCGTCCTTCTCACTCCACTTCTTCCTCTCCTCCTCCTCGCTATCCTCAAGCGGTGGCAAGTCGTCACTGCTCTCAGAAGTGGAGGCGGAGCTGTCGCTCTCCGTCTCCTCCTCATTTTGTGATAAAGGAGCTGAGACGGCTTCATCGCCGTCTTGGTCGCATTCTTCCAAAAAGGAATCTGCGGGAGTTGAAGGGGCACGCGGAGGGGATCTCTCCAGAGCCGTCTGGTTTCTCTGACCAGACGCTTCTCCCTCAGGCGTTTGGTCGCCTGAGCCCTTGCTTCTGTAATCCGGATCGAGGGTCGTCTGCATAGTCCGAGCCATTGTGTCCTGCACAGACACATAAATGGTCGAAATCCAAGCAAAAGGGTGGTCCCAACACCCCGAGATGGCACTCCCAGTCCTAGACTCATCCGTCCTCGGTGACCGGCTGGATTCTAACCTAGGCTGTGCCGTGTGTGTTGGTGATGCATCCATTTATTACAAGAAATATGTACAAGCGGTGAAACATGAGAAAGAGCTGAGAGAGGCAGAGACGGTACCTTTAGATTTGATATCTGAAGATAGGCGGGTCCGGCTAGGTTGACGAGAACGAGTTTTCTTACTTGCACTTGACTCAGACGGATGACTTCTACTCTCTCAAAGTTGCTCTCTTGAAAATTTTTTGTAAACGTACAAAATTATGAGGGTAAACGACTATATATAGAGGGTAAATGCGGGGGCATCCTCGTAATTTACTCATAAGGTGAACGGTTACTTTTTTGGCGGTGAAATTACCACCAACCGGAGCGTGACACATGTCACAGATGCCACGTGGCGTGCCACGTCACATCTGTGAGGGGCAAATGTTTAGGGTAATTTTACCCCGCCACGTGGTCCAATCAGAGGACGACATGTGTCAGCCCAAGGATGGCCCAAAGCGGACCTATCCCAGCTTGACACGTGTTACTCCAGAAACCTGGGAGGAAATCGCGGCCTTCAGGCCCAAATCCCGAGAAAGCCGCAATGCGGCGCAACCCACCAAGGGTTCAGTGACCTAATCAAGGGCACAAATCCCGAGGACCCTATAAAAGGGAGATTCTCCTCTTTTGGAGGGCACGTTTTACCACGATTTACCATTTATTACAAATTGTCCCTGTGATAGAGACATCTGAGCTTGGAATCCGAGCAGATACCCACCTAGATTTCCGCACCTTTTTCTCTTCCTTCAAGTTACTAACTTGTTCGTCGGTGGCGGAGCACCACCCAACCGTGTCTCCGTTTGTTTTGCAGGTACTGGCCGCACCGGATCAGTCTTCGTGTTGTAACTCTCCCGAGGGACAAAAATACCCAAAACATCAGCCAACAAAAAAAACTATCAAAATTTATATATATATATATATATATATATATATATATATATATATATATATATATATATATATATATATATATATACATACATACAGCTAAAATAATATATTAGCCAACACGAAAATTATATAAGTCAACAAATGAAACATGTCAACTAACACATAAAACATATAAGCCAATAAGTAAAACATATCAGCCAAGCCAGACGCACGAAAATTTTGCGGGCATCCGCACGCAATAGCTTCTCAAACTTATATTATCTTAACTTAGTGTTTTTTTAATAGTAAAATTAATTGATTAATAAAAAGTCATAGGACATCAAAGTAAAATACATATATTGAATTAAATGAAAATTTCCTTCATAAAAGCTACAATCATCAAGCAGATTTTGCAATGTGGAACATCTTCCACTTATATCGCTGAAATATACAGCCTTAAGTGTAGATTCCTGAATCAAAAACACTTAGGGCATGTTCACTTCGGTTTTATTTCAGTTCAGTTTCAATCAGTTCACTTCAATCCATTCCTAATTTCATTCTCTGATAAACAATTCATTTCTCTTCAGTTCAATTCAACTCTAATCAGTTCAGTTCAGTTCCATACAGCTCAATTCAGTAAATCAGAATAACCTTTAGTACTAGGGGTGTCCATTATTTGGATTAAAACCAAAATCTAATCTAATCCAAACCGAATTATCAATTCGGATCGGATCCGAAATTTAAATCAAAAAAAAAAAAAAAGATTTTCGGATTGACCCTAATTGGATCCAATCCAAACCGAAAACCGAATTGTAAAATTAAGCTTGCATAAATATGTATTTCTTTAATTTTTGAAGTTTAGCTCAAATAGTTACTACTACAAAAAAATATATTAGGGAGACTTTGTATTAATTAATTAATGACTTGATGTTGAACTATTTATTTTAATAATGATTTTGAAAACTTGTAATAATATTAAAGCTTTATTTTTATAATAGTATTAGGCGCAAAAATATATTGTATTATAATTCGGATTTTCGGGTCGGATTCAAATAATTGAATTTTAATTCGGATCTTTACTCGGACGCTTTTGTTGGGATTGCAAAATGCGACGGTGTAGCAGATGAGTTAAGTTAATGGTAATGCCAACTAAGAAAAAAACCATATTTGTTGGAAGACAATGTGATCTGCCAACTTTATTAAGATAACATAATACTTTTGAAGACAAAGTTGTCGGCTAGGGGATTTAAGTTTGTATACCAACCTGTACTAAAAAGTACACCTAACTTACCATGAATTCTATTAATATGAATACATTTACAACTCATTTCCAGTTGAGTTTCCTTTGGCAGCACATAGTCACATACTGAGATTATGGGATAGATCACAACTTAACATCAAGTTCTTTGAATAAATACACTTTTTATAAATGCATGTCTTTTACTAAGATGGATCAAACATACAAGTATATATATTAAGAATACTTTCATGGGATACCCTAGATTGAGATGGTAGGTGTTCGAGACATGTTTGTTTCGGTTTATAGCAACTCTTGGGTCATTCAAGTCGAGGCGAGTCAAATCAATTTATCTTTTAGATCGAGTTTAGGTTCAAGATAGGGCAAGTTAAATCAATTGCCCTTTCAAAACCAGACCAAGTGCAAGTTGAGTCTAGCTTAGATCGGGTTTAGTTAGTGTTACTGGTTAGGTTTAGGGCAGTTGTAAGGTTAGTAATGATGATTTGAGCCCAAAACTTATTGATGATTTTTTTTAAAACAAAAACTTATTGACGAGTTAGGTTACCATCAAATGTGTTTCTTGGATTTTGGTGAATTTCAAACCAGGGTAAAGTCAAATTTATATATTACGTTTTTTTATACATATAATTCAACCATGTATTATCATATACTAATATACTCTTGTATTATTTAGTGCCCGACTGCCTATGCAGCTTTGCTAACACACGAGACATAGATAATGTAAGAATTCATAAAGAGTTGTACATACAACAATTATTAAATTTTGAAAAATATTTTTTGTAGGATCAATATGCACTCGTATTAATGTTGTCACTAAATTTTCACCTAAAGAATGAGATTTCAAATTTTATGCACTTAAAGAACGAGACAAATTTTACACTCATAAAAGACTCCATATATATATATTCACCCATCCATATATTAAAACATATACACAATACAAAATCACAAATTAAAATAATAAATTGCATGTAACAAAAGGAAAGAAAAAAGTACAAACGTAATTCATGATAATTTACCAAATTAATGATTTAGGGTCTATTCAGATTTACTGAAAATAACTGAACTTATTGGGGCTGAACTGAACTGGATAGAGTTGAAATGAATTGTTTATGAGAGAAGGAAATTCCAAAATTAGGAACTAAACTAAATTGAACTAAACTGAAATTAAGCTAAACTGAAATTGAGCTGAACAGAATAGGCATTACTAAGAGCAATGTCAACAATGATCATTTTTTTCCTCATGAGGAAATTTGATCATTTTGGACATCACAATAATGAGGAAATTGGTTTTTCCTCACCACTTGCTACTTATTTAATTTTTTTGCATGCTTGCTATGTTTTTATAATGTGAACTAGTTTAGCACCCGGGTGATGCCTCGCATTTTGTTTAAATACAAAATGAAAAAATTACTTTGAGTTTAAATAATAGGGTAATGCTATATAAATGCAGCCTTAAGGGTTAGGGTTGCATATAAGCATTTAATATACTTCATTTTTTAGTATTAAAATAGAAATTTATCGACAATACACGAGTAAATCGGCATAATAAATGTTTACTTACTGTCAATTCTTTCCTAAATAATATATTAGAACCAATACCTTAAGTTTAAATAATAATATTAAAAATAGTGAAATTAGTTGGGGATAGAAAGAGAAATTCAGTAGTATTGGTTTTACAATTAAGTAGGGAACTACGTATAATGCTTAAAAACTTTTAGAATCCTTAAAGAAAAGTTACAATTCATATATGAATGTTACAGAGTAATTAAGTAATAAAGTGACATAATTGTAGAATAGTGGTAATGAAAAGTTGGGAATTTCAAGGGAAGTAATGGTTTAAATCGAATCCAAATATTAATGTGTTGTCATGTTATCATATACGTGGCGCTATGTCAAAAATTTTATGATGACAAAGTTTGACACATGTCGTGAACATGTTAATGCGTTGAGTTTTAATGATATTATAGATTATAGATATAGTGATTTATAAGAGAGGGAGAGAATGTTTGTGGGGTATAGGACTTTTTTTTAATTGATTATTGGCGGGATAAAATTTCCTCTACAAATTTCCTCATGAGAAAAATGAGAATTTTAGAGAGAGGATGAGAAAACCACTTTTTCCTCATTGTTGAGGCTATACATACAATTATTGTATGTGGTCCCTATATACAACTCTCATTTATCTTGAATGATGTTTAGATGCAATATTACAAGGGGGGGGTGAATTGTAGTATGGAGATTTCTAGTCACTTTTTGTGGAATTAAAAGAAACTTAACGCAATAGAGAAATAGTGCAAGAGAGATTTTACGAGGAAAACTTCCTAGGCCAAATATGAAGTGAAAAACCTCGACCCAAAGGGATTTTGACTCAAAACATTCCACTAAAATAGGCCAACGACTCTGTTACAACCTATGAGGAACTTGAGCCTCTACCGAGTTCCTCAACGAACTCATATCCCCAATAACTATTCCCTATAATAGTTGCAGCTCAAAATCTTCCCTCAAATACCTCTCTTATCACTCAAGACTTCCCTCAAAGCCTTACTCTTTCTTACTCAAGCTTTATCTACATACAAAGAACTCACTCAAGTTCTCACCTCAATACAAGAATTCACTCAAACCCTTATTAATTCCCCATTACAAGAGTTCACTCAAACCCTTAAACAACTCTCAAATACATATAAAAGATATAATGTATAAAACTAATACGTTGGACACTTTGAGAGATGTAA